ATGTTGAAAGAAGTCTTTTTTTTTTTTTTTTAAGATTTTATTTATTTATTTGACAGAGACACGGCGAGAGAGGGAACACAAGCGGGGGGCAGTGGGAGAGGGAGAAGCAGGCTTCCCGCCGAGCAGGGAGCCTGATGCGAGCAGGGGGCTCAATGCGGGGCTCAATCCCAGGACCCCAGGATCATGACCTGAGCCGAAGGCAGACGCTTAACGACTGAGCCACCCAGGTGCCCCAGCAGTAGTATTTCTTTAAATTTATCTTCCTAGAGTTCCTCATTTCTTTCATTGGTATTGGGCTTCCATCTGGATCCATTTGTCTTCTGCCAAAGAATTGCCTTTAGTACAATTTAGAACACCCTTGAAACTAGAAGTCCATTTTTTCTTTCCCTTTCTCTCTCTTTTTCTACCTTTTTTTTTTTTTAAAGTAAGTTCTACACCCATTGTGGGGCTTGAACTCATGACCCAGAGATGAAGAATCAGATGTTCTACTCACCGAGCCAGCCAGGTGCTCCTAGAAGTCTATTTTTTCCTCATATTTTAGTCTGGAGATTTTCCACTGACATTTCTTCAAGTTCATTACCTTTGTTTTGCTCCCCCCCCCCCCCCCCCCCCCCCGTTTTTAAAATCAGTTCTGGGATTTCCCTTTGGTATTTTTTAAAAAACGAATTCCACCTCTGTGGTGAAATACTATAGTTTTCACCTATTTTCTTGACCATAACCATAATTTTTTAAAGTGTGATTTTGGTAACTACAATTTTTATATCTCCTGTTTCTATTCGTGTTTTGATTTGAATCATTTTTACCTGGTTTATATTGTACATGATAAGTTTTGGCTCAGTGCTAAACATTGTTTAGGGAAAATTTGAGAGGCTTGGAATTTTGTTTTTTTCACCAGAGAGAATTTAATTTCTTCCAGGCAAGCAAATACAGTATGACTTCAACCTTGGTTTGGTTGAGGGTGGTCTCTTTCTGGTTTACTCTTAATCCCAATTTTTAGCCTTCTTGGGGTTTCAGCTGCAAGCTTTGGGTGTTTACCCGAAGTATTGCCTTGTTGGCCCTGAGCTTTAGTTTTTGTCTTTCCAGCCCTGAGACCTGGTGAAATCTCTTCCTTGCTTATTAGTCTTGTAGCTGCTGCTCTTACTGTGATTCCTTGTGGGCAGATACCTCAAGGGGAAATGTACTGGTTCAGCACAGTTCCTTTCCCTTCTTTCTAAGACCCCTTGCAAGTCCTGGCTGCCTACATTGTTTTTAGATGCTGCATTAGTTTTTTAGGTCTGCCATCACTAACTACCAGATACTAGGTAGCTTAAAACAATAGAATTGTCTTCTCTTACAGTTCAGAAGTATAGAAGTCTAAAATGAAGATTCTTGTCAGGGCTTTGCTTATTCTGAAGGTCCTAGATTTTTAAACTAGTTGATTTCTAATAATTCTTTCATCCCAGATATCCTCTGATTCCTGATCCTCCATAGAATAACCTCACTCAGATTTTATAAAAGAAGTCAGTGGAAGACTAATACATACTCATACACATTTCTTTTAGCAGCAATTATTTTTTTTTTTTAGGCCAACTATTTTTATATCAATAAAAGCAGATGTCAAAATACCACATTTCTTACTTTGGATTTGTCTTATTTCCTACTGTTTACTATTTTGTGCTTCATATTTATTCAGTTGTGAAGGAGTTTTATGCTTATGAATTACTTGATGTGCCAATATTATAAGTAATGGAAATAATTCTGTTTGTTTACCAAAACTAATCAGAACCCCTCGTTTGAAAAGCTTTTTATTGTTAAAATTCAAAATAGTGTTTACCAGTGTTTATTGTTAGGTAGCATTCTTTTGCATAATAAATAAATCTTTTTACAGTGCTCTCTCAGAGGAGGAGAAATCTACTTTGCGTGCAGGGCTAATCACCAACTTCAATGAACCAGTAAACCAGGTTAGTGAGAAAACGAATGCCAAGTATTCTTTCTTTTGCCTTACTTTTTACTTCTTTCCCAAACTAATTTTGTTTTTTGCATTAAAAATGATACTTCATAATGTCCATTTGTGATGTTTATGGGTTTTAAATTCTGAGATTCAGTTTGAGGTGTTAAGAATTTTGGTTATATTTGGCTATTGTTTTAAAATTCACTAAGATACACACTATTGGAAGCAAGTCTCTATATATTCATAGTCTTAGAAATTAATTTTAATGATTTATGTTATTCCTACCTCCTTTTTTTAAACTACAGGATGTCTTCTCTGTTTCCTTCATCCATCACATTTTCCATTCTCACTGTGTACTCTGAGGGGGTTAGATAATAGATTACACAGTTCAATTTTTTTCTTTCCTCTAGAGTGCGATTTTTCTTAAAAGAGTAAGTTTTGCTTACGGTTACAAATCTTAGATTTTTACAAGATACTATTATTACACTTAATTAATTTGAATGTTTAAAAAGTGTTATATCTTTAATATTTACTGTGTTAGCAATTAAAACAAACTTAAAAATATTAATTGAAAATAACAAAACCATTGATTGTTAACATAATAGAATTTTAAAAAATGAACCATAGCTCTTTCCCCAAATATTTAGTGAGAAGAGTAGCGTTGTTGTGCTTTTTTGCATATAGCCATGGTGTCTGGGTATTTAAAAGAAGACATCTAGATTTTCATATCTGCTTCTTCAGTTACTCTGTTGGAATGTATTATTTTGGGAGAAGTTACATGAAGAAAATCTAGCTTCACTGATGAGTGAGGGAAAGGGAGGATCTCGTAGACCCCTGGAAAGTTCTTAGCCCCATCCTCTCTTCGGAGGATTCATAGACCATACTTTGTGAATCACTCTTCAGTAAGCAGTTTTCAGTGAAATTTTATTCACTTTTGTCAAATGTCTAACTAACCAAAAGGTAATTTTCAACTGTGAATGCATTCCTTATCTGCTGATTTGATTTCATATGTATATTTCTGATGATTTTTTTCCCTTTAGATTGCAACTCAGATTGCAGTGCTGATTGCAAAAGTTGCTCGATTGGACTGTCCTAGACAGTGGCCTGAACTTATTCCCACTCTTATAGAATCTGTGAAAGTCCAAGATGATCTTCGACAGCACAGAGCATTACTTACCTTCTATCATGTTACCAAGACTCTGGCTTCCAAACGTCTGGCTGCTGATAGGAAATTGTTTTATGATGTAAGTGATTTAAAATAGTTAGATTTGATTATGAAAACTGCTACTGGTATAAAAATGTCTGTGGTTTTACCCTTCTAAATATTTTAATCAAAGACTATGAATTCTTTCCAGTGGACCTAAAAGCTTCAGAATAACAGATAACATCTGAAAGATTTTAAACTGCATAGTGATACAATAAGATTGCTTAGTTGCCAGTAAGCAGGGATTGGTTGGTAGAGAATGGTCTGAAGGCAGAGACTCTTTTGAGGCTTTTGAGGTTCAGATGGAAAAAAGAAGCTGTGATAAACAGAACATTTATGAGGGATAGAGTTGAAATATAGAAAGTTAAATTTGACATTCTTGGGTAATTGATGCATGTAGGGCAGATGTAGGGAAGGAGTCTGACATAACTGGTGGGTGAGACCCTTTATTGGGTGTTTTCGCACCATTTGTTGAAAAGACTTTGCGTTTTTCATTCACTTGCTTTGACATTTTTGTATTTGATTATTTTCACCTTAAAGTAGTAATTTTCATTTTGTTCAGCCTAGTGTTTTGGACTGCACCATGTAACACTGATAAGTCTCATAGTATTTTTAACAGTGTTCTTGTTTGCCTTTGTAATCCTCACTTTGAGGATATAATTTGGGAATCTGCATTTCTAATAGACTTTCCAGGTAACTCTTACATATACCAAAGCTTAAGCCAGAATCACATTAGGTTCTCTACTTTGAACCCAGTTGGTTTAAATAGCCAATATTAGGTTTATCCAAGGATGTTGAGTGTAAGAGAAATTCTTTTTGTTGAAGGTTGCTTTTTAAATCCTTGTTGCTTTTGCTTGATAACCAACTAGGATTTAGGAAATGGACTGTTGATTCTTTCAGGTCTTTCTGTGAATTTCTTGCTGATTTTGCTTGACTTTATCTCCATCTTACACTCTTCTCCTTACTTTTATATTGGCTCTTTTCCCAAGTCAAATGTCTTGAAGGTTGAGGGTTGCAATTATTTTATGAAAGAGTACCCTTCTCCAGAAATCTCAATTCAAAGTTCAGCTTTCTCAAGTTGTACTCTCCTAATGTGTTGCTTCAGTTTTTAGGTATAATTTATATTTAGCCTAAGCAGTCTTTATGAATCATATCTAATCAGAGGCTGTATTCTTGATAGCTTGTTTGAGTTAGCTTTCTGAGCCCTTCAACTTTCTTGGTCAGTTTTCTTGTAGTATGAGAAGGCTGTTTCCTCTCTGTACACTGTAAAGTATAGGTCTTCCTAGCATCTTGAGCATACTGTTTATTCCATAGTGCTGACTTAGAATTGTTGACTTATCTGTCCGAGATCCACTTCACTATGAGTTTCATGAGAGAGAAATTTTAGCCTTTATTGTTATAGTCTTACAGAAGAATGCAGAGAAGTGGGTGGTGCTCAGTAACTGTCAGTTAAATGAATAAGTTGTGGAGGAGACTTGTTCTTAGATACCTTACAGATTTCAAAGTGGCGTAGTATAAAAGAGCAGGAATTTTGGGAGGATACGTAAAACTTAAGATACCTGGAAAAAAATTCAACTTAGCACCTTTCAATATGGATTGGAGTAGCTGAACCTGGAAACACGGAGCATAGTATAGAGGGGAACACGATCATGTCTGATGGGTTTAGTGGGGTATGAGATATGTAGTTGAATTGAAGGGAGTATATATAGGAAGACATGATTATAAAAAGCAGTTTCGCTAGTTAATAAAGTAGCCCCTATTATTTTGGTAACCTGAAGTATAGGAAAGTTCTTTTAAAAAAATTTTTACTGTGATGCTAAGATGGTCTTCATGTACTCAATTAGTTTCCCACCTAAAAATGTAAAGCCATAGTTGAGCTAGTTCTTCTAGCAAAGTAGTGCAGTGTACACTTAAAAGTAGAACCTGCTGCTCAGTGCAACCCAACAATTTCTATATCCTCTTTTTCTTTCACATTAAAATAAATTATGTTCTTTTGAGGGGTGACGTATTACAGAATCAACAGTTGAGAGAAAATTGTTTGCAGTCACAAAATTGAGCTGGATTTGACATAAAAACGGATTTTTTTTTTTTTTATAAAACTATGCTTTTCATAGAAACCTGAATATAAAAATATTGATGTTAACTGTTAAAGGCTAAGTGATGTTAACTGTTAAGGCTAAAACTTAGAAATTTTAAAAACTGAACGGTTGATGATGAATAAATTCCCACTGAACAGTGTGTGTATTTGCGTAATAGGGGTAAAAGGAACTGAAGCAAGGTGAAACCACATTACAAGACCCTCAAACAGCATAGGTTTGAACTGTGCAGGTCCACTTATACACAGGATTTTTTTTACAGTACAGTTCTGTAAATATATTTTTTGTATTATTTTCGTAGTAACGTTCTCTTTTTCCTAACTTTATTGTAAGAGTACAGTATGTAATATATATGATGTACAAAATACGTGTGTTAATCGACTGTTTATGTTACCAGGAAGGCTTCCGGTCAACGATAGGCTATTCATAGTTAAGTTTTGAGGGAGTCAAACGTTATTCACAGATTTTCAACTGCGTGTGGAGGTGGGGATTGCCCCTAACCCTCGTGTTGTTCAAAGGTCAGTCACACTTCAGAATAGTCTTCCTGATGAGTTAGTGTGTTTTCTAAATGAGCTAACAAAATGGAAACCACATAGCTACTTTGAGATGGATTGGTTAGTGCTAAGATCACTCAGCCTTGTAGCAGAGACTTTCACACTTAGTCTTTAGAAACCTCTAACTTCATGATATCCCTAGGGAAAATTTCCAAATAGTTGAAATTGTGAATGGTAAATGTGAGTATACCAAGGTGCCACTTACATGGTATAACTCTAGCCTTCAGGATATTATATTGTAGTGAAATTTACTTAAAACATAAATGTGTGTTTTGTTTTGTTTTAAAGATTTTATTTATTTGAGAGAGAGAGTGTGAATGAGAGAGAGAGTGCGAATGAGAGACAGAGCATGAGCTGGGGTGGGGGGAGGCGGAGGGGCAGAGGGAGGGGAGGAGAGGAACAAGTGGACTCCCTTCTGAGCAGGGAGCCCAACATGGGGCTCGATTCCAGGATCCATGGGATGACCTCAGCCAAAGGTAGACGCTTAACCGACTCAAGGCACCCAGGCACCCCATAAATGTGTGTTTCTAAGCAAATCATTAAATAGGTGAAATAGCTTGTTTTCAGTTTTGTTTGGGTGATTCTAATTGCCTCACTAAATGCATGTTGATCCTAGATCTTGTCTCTTGCTCTGCCAAATTTTATATTGGCTTTTAAAAACACATTTTTTAAAGAATGGCTTCAGATTTTATAAAGCGTCATTTCTGCTATGAGCCTCTGTGGGGATTTGAGCTTGTATGTGTGTGTCTAGGCTTATATTAATAGGAGGGGAAAAAGAACCTTTTGGTGGGAACTTTTAAGGGAGGAGAGAGACTCATTGGGACTAGCTTGAGCCAGGAGGAAAAAAAAAAAAAAAAGCTGTGCACTGAACAGAAGAGATTTTTAGTATAGCATGGTGCTTGTCTTTTCTATAGTATACAGACTGTTACTTGGGTCCTAGGAAAAGGGACTTGGAAAAAGAATAAAAACTCAAAAAATGTATCACTAAAATCTCTAAGTTGCTCATGAAGGAGTACTGTTTGTTCTATCCACATGACAAATATTGGGTTCCTATTCTGCCAGTCACTGTATTGGATGCCTGAGACACAGCTGTGAACAAAGATAAGGTCCCAAGTGGGGAGGAGGGTAGTTTGACCTTTTCCTTCCCCTTCACGAATTGTGATTCTTTGGATACATGAGAGCATCATTTAGGCACCAGTGGCAGAACACAGGTCTGTGGCTGTGCAAGGATTAGAGGACTTTAGGGATCTGTAACATGGGCCACAGTGTCCCTCCTGGGCCTGAGCTGTACCAGTGGCAGGTTTGAGAACAAAATGAAAACGAGGGTTTACTAAAAGATATGTAGGTAACAGATGCTACCAGTCTTTAGGAATGTCCTTCAGTGAAAATAAATAAATATCAGTTGAGAGACTTCGGCAGTTTGATTGGAAATTGTTTTTGAGATAGATCTTATACCCACCAGAGCTTCTGTCCTGAGACATTTTGGCAATTTGATATATATATGGTTCAATGGAAACAAATATATATTTAAGCTTTGTATTAAAGCAAAAACTGATTACTACCAAAATAACTACCTTTTTGTTATTAATAACATACAGGCGTTTTTTAAATCTTACTTTTAAATTTTTTTTCTTGTTTAAAATTTTTTTTCTTTTTTGTATCTATTTTTTTAAATTTTTTAATTAACATATAATGTATTATTTGTATCAGGGGTACAGGTCTGTGATTCATGAGTCTTACACAATTCACAGTGCTCACCATAGTACATACCCTCCCCTGTCCTTGTTTTAAAAATTTTAAAACATAGAATGCAAATGAAAAATATAAACTGCCATATATCCGTCACTTAGATTTAGCAGTTAACATTTTGCTGTTTTTGTTTTTTCACTTTTTTTCCTAAGGTGTTTTAAAGCAGTTTAAAGATTTAATGATATTTTATCACTAAATACTTGAGTATTCATCTGTAAAAGGATACTAATTTTGTTTATAATTGTTTAACTTTTATCAAACCTAAGAAAAATAAAAATAGTGATTTAGTACCATTTAATACTTTTAGCAGATTTTCTACATTATTCTCAAATATATTTTAACAAGTGGTTTGAGCCAGAAAAATGAATAAGGTGGGTATGTTTGGTCAAGTCTTTTAAGTGTCTTTAGAATAGTATTCATTTCCTTCCTTTTTTTTTTTTTTTAATGCCACTTGGTGAAAGAATTGGCTGACCAGTCTTATAGGATTTTGTACGTTCTACATCTCTTGGTTATGTGTCTTGTTGATGAGCTTGAGGTCAGGCAGGTTTGACAGCTATAGATTATGGGTAATATTTTGTGTCCCACTGTTAGTGATGAATTACAAGACTTTGATTTAAAACTTTCTCAGTTTGTTTCTTAGG